AAGTTATTTTTTCTTTATTGTAAATGTATCTTAAAATGAGATGTGAATGTTTTTCGATTTTTCCGTAATTTAGACGATAGTTTATCCATCACACCCTACATATATATATATATATATATATATATATATATATATATATATATATATATATATATATATATATATAATGGAGAAAGATAGAGAAAAAAGAAATGTAGATAGATAGATACATAGATATCGCAACTGTGATATATGATATTGATAACAGAGATAAATGAAGGATATTAATTAAAGATTTTCAGAAGGACAAGAAAACGACCATAAACTAATCAGAATACCAATAATATTTTCAGGGGACATGGGAGCAATTATTCTCACACATTTCATAAACATCAGTAAAGTAAATGTACAGGAGGGGGAATTCCACGCAAAATAATTTCTAAATAATGAATTGTAGTGATGAATAAGATGTACTACACAAGATGCACCCAATAGTTGGGCTAGCGGTTTGAATCTTTCATGGAATAAATCGACTAATATTAACGCTAAAGTGTAGTGGCTTTTAATGTTTAAGTCTAGAAATATAAGACTACATTTACAGACCTCTTCACAGTTGCTACTATTCTCAAAATTAAATCAGATTAGATAGTCAAGAATTGAAGTGATACAAATCAAAAACAAAGAAAGCTTATGTTAAAATATATCCATGCAATAAAATGTGTCTGGACATTCGGAAATGTTATCTATTGCCTACTGTTCAAAATGTTGAAAGGTATCAAGTAATGTAATGGAAATGGTCTTCATCTGCTTAGCTGCTTCTCTTTAGACAGCATTAGGGATTCATTGACTGAAGAATTGGCGTTACAGTCGGATGAAATTTAGAAAATATTTCCGTTTAAACTGTAATTCAGGAAATTGGTTTCTTTATGTAGTTAAGTGTCTTCGCACTTTGTTTAGCGTTGATACGAATTTGCTTTCTAAAAATCTGGATTGTGCAATGACTTTCCCTATTTTTATTATTTATTTGATAAAATATAAGATTTTGGAAGTCTTCCTGCGTTGAACATTTGTTTTTTGGTGTATCACTTTGATTGTGATTATTCGTCGTTTGTAGACAAACATTTGAAGCCAATTTTATTGTGCGTAAACAGTTGTGTCAGGGTAACTTTTGATACAATTCCCAATATGAGGAGACATAATCTCTCCAGATAATCGTTTAAATGTATGGAATAATTTTTTATCTACAAAATGTTTAATATCTAAAAAAACACAAACTTGGTTTTTTTCCAGGTTTACAGATAAAACGTTTATCCGCCTTGACACCATCTGTCGTTATTCAGCTAGAAAAAGAGCAGATAGAAATCGTTTGGTGTCAGCCCCACTTGTTCTTCCCGACTGTGCAATGGTCAATGGAAACTGTTTATTTAGGCCTTCAGTAATTTTACAAACATTCACACTCTCGTTACCATCTCCAAAGTCCATTCAAGAATCATCAATAGAACGGTGAATAATCTTTTAAAAGAGTGAACAGTATGGAGTAGATGTGGATCAGAATGTCATAACAAAATGAGTTATCATCATTTCAATTAGGAGATAAACCCATTCTTATTTTTCAATAGAGTCATACAAACCTGGAATAATTCCAGTTAGATAAATTTTATAATTTCTAATATAAAAGTGTTCAAAGAATAATCTAACAATTTGACAATTTTGCTGTTACAAAATTTGGATAATTTTGCTCTTACACCCAGGCGTGCATATATTTTCCTCTGAGTATCATATTTATCATGATCACTTTCTTCATTATAAACCTAGAAACATCACATGACTCTTCCCGATGTTAATTATAAGTTTCCATTTAAGTTTCCATTTTCGATAAAACGTCATTGTTGCTCACACATCGGACAATGGTATACTCACCATCCTTATGTAAAAACACGTTTCTGTTGCTAAAAATCTCTTCTACATCTTTGAGTACATTGTCCAGCACTCACTACCATACAGGAGTACAAATATCATAGAATATTTTGGTAATATTTTACATGTTTCTATCAAAGAACTTTTTAAATTGCTTATTACTTTTTTATCTTTTGGAATGATTTTTATCGATCACAATACGATTTCGGATTTCAGTGTCACGCTTTCCGTCCTGTATATGCTATCATGGTAAACAGTGCTGCCAAATGTAAAATTAAATGTGAAGAAGTAAAAAATAAAACATAGCATGAATGATTTACAGGTTCCATAATATAAAGCTACGCATACTATTATGTAAAATAATGAAATATTAATTTATCCAGAGGTAAGGGATATTCCGCTAATCAAATAACAATTTATGAACGATGGTGTTTGTATTTCGTTAAAAATAAAAAGGAAAATTTTCTTTGTTTCGGTACTGAGTCACACATATTTATTTTCTGTTTAAATAGATATATAAATTGAAATATATATCTTAACTTTCTTTTATGTGTCATGCGTGATACACGCCTAGGCGATCATCTATTTTCCCCATACATGACTGACGAGGCAGATATTTCCCCACATAAGGTTGCCATTTCTTTCTTCATCCAAGTTGATGAAACGCGGTCTCTCCTGCTATTGACCCACAGCTTGAGGGAGAATATGATGATTCATAGCTTTACCAAGGTTACTAGTTCATAAGTGAATGTAACGGAGTCGTCTGGAATTCGAACTCGCCTATCCGATTCCTCACCCCGAGTCGCTAACCATTACTCCACCGGATAACGGAATACTTAGAAATCGCTGCAACTTTGGTAAAAAATTTTAACAGGGAAAAAAAAATTACATACATAATAAGATATGAAATGCTGAATAAACATAATATAGAGTTTGAAAGAAAATATACTGAATTTTTAAATGGAAGCATGAAAAAATTTAACTCATTCAATATATATATATATATATATATATATATATATATATATATATATATATATATATATATATATATATATATATATATATATATATATATATATATATATATATATATATATTGCATGTCACTTTTGCATGTGAAAAGTGAATATATATATATATATATATATATATATAATTACATATATGCATATACATATATATATATATATATATATATAATAAGATGAATATGTTTTATATCTATGTGCAATGTGTATATATATATATATGTGTGTGTGTATGTATGTATGTATATACAATTTCTTACTTAGCATAAAAGTGTATCTTGCTCTTATGATGCAACAAGAATTAAATTGCTTACATTCAAGTGAATTCCTCGTGTTTATATATATATATGTTTATATATATATATATATATATATATATATATATATATATATATATATATATATATATTATATATATATATATATATATATATATATAAATATATATATATATATATATATATATATATATATATATATATATATATATATATATATATATATATATTACATATACATATATATAGAGAGAGAGACGGAGAGAGATAGAGAGAGAAATAGAAAGAATAAAATTAATTATGTATGTTATGTATTATCTGTGTATCATATTTAACTAGGTACCTCCACTGAATTTTCGATACCTAATGTTTTTTATCAAATGAAAAGATCCTCCTTGAAGATTTCATTTTTGCTTTAATTGAAACCTAAACGATTCACTTTACATTTCCAGTAAGCAAAATCATCTAGTGTATTTCAAATAGAAATTAAATAGTTTGGAATATTAGCTTTTTACGCGCTTTCATGATTTCGGTTACATGCGACCAATTTTCTCACATTTTAAGATATTTGTAAAAAAATCTAATTATCGATTTTAAAAATCTTTCAAAGATAAAATATACATTGGTGACAAGTTCTTTGAGGAAAATTAAGAAATTTAAAGTTAATTTAATCTGATTGAAAGACGTATTACTTACTCATATCATTAAAATATATATACTAGTATATGAGCATTTCTTAATTACGGGTCCTTTTTTCTGACACGTGATTGATGTTATTGACGGGCGAATGTGTTGAGAGCTAGGTATGGATGACTCGAATTGACATAAATTTACGAAATCTAAGTGAATGCCTTTTTTTCAGTTGGGTATTTTAAGTACCTAGTAATTTTTCAAATTTACATTATATTTTCGGCAATTATTTAATATCTTATTGACTTTTATTTAGTATAATATTACACTATTACGTTAAAAATGCTTTCTGAAAAACTAATGATATGAAAATATCCTAAAAAGAGGAATCATTAAAAAGTAAAAAAATAAATACTACTAAGAAAAGAAACAATGCGCATTATAATATATACATAAAATAAAAATATTTATTGACATAGAAATTAAATAAAGTAAGACTTATTTTAAAGTTTTAAAACTTCGAAGGGATTATGTTCAAAGCATGTTCAGACGTAAACACGACATCAATAAAATTGCGAACAAGTGAATTTCTCAATAAAATGAGGACAACATTACGACACCTGACCTTTTACTAATAATTCCATGTATAGAATACCATACATACAAAAATGAAAGCTTTTCAACAATTAAAATTATTCTAAATTCATTTTTAAAAAATTGGGTGAAAATGTCTTTTATTGAAACTTAATTTTTGATTGGCAAATATAGTTTCCACATATTTACAATATCACCGAGAGAAAGTAATGCAGAATTTTAAATGATTTTTAAATTATTGTAAATTATTTTAATTAAAATTTTAAACAATGAAAACAATTCTTGTGAAATCCATTATTCATCGAAAAAAATGTTATGATGGTAATAGTGTACTTGTGATATCTTATTTATGAAGGCAATTAAAAGATTTTCTAATTAAATAATAAAGTTTTATTTCATTTAAAGTTTAAGATTTGGATTAAATTTTGCGGATGTAGGGGTTCTGTTTGCAAAAAATGAATTATTTTGATTTTCCGAGGAGTCTTACATATAACTAATAAAAAAAAAGATTTTGGAAAGAAAATTTAATTTCTCGAAATTTCATAAAATTATGCAAGTGTAGGAAACATACATATATAGATAGATAGATAGATAGATAGATAGATAGATAGATAGATAGATAGATACATACATACATACATACATACATACATACATACATACATAGAGATATAGATATTACAGATATTTTTTAAAACAAAAAAGATTTCAAAAATAATTTCATTCATTTGTGAATACGTCCTAAATGTTTCGACAATTATTTGATTGTTGCAAGTATTTCCATTGAATGGTTTTCACCAGGAAAAGCCCAAAAATTTTAAAAGAGTAAATAATAAAAAAATAATTGCTTCTTACCTCTCTATAATAACATAAATATTGTAACGATAAATTTTTGTTTTTATTTAGTTTGGGACTTTTTTCATCATTCTTTACACTTTTTCAGCGAGAATGTGAAGATAACTAATGTTAACCAACCAATGTTGGCAACGTTTTTTAGCATAAATTGTGAAATGTGCAATGGCAATGTAAATCCCAGCTTAAAATATCTGATTATATATTTACAAATTCTTACAATGTAATAATTGTCAGTCGCGAAAATGATTTTACATTTTGTTTGTTGTTCATCGCATCGTAAGTAAAATAAATATAATAGTTTAATTATAGAGTTTTTTTAGGAATTGTATACACATGTCCATCACAGTAAAAAAAATAAAAATTATATTCCCTGAAAAGAAAAGGAAAAGTCGTCGCAATTTTTACACTTCATGAGAGAGGAATTTGTAAATTACGAAAAAATTATACGAAGAAAGCTGAACATTATATGAAATGAAAAATGCACTTATTCGCAAGATGTGGAAAAGAAAAAAAATCGTAGCGGAAAGACTATTTTGATAAAGAAATATTAATAGTAACAATCACAGAAACAATAAGATTATAAAACAAACATTAGAAATGAAGTACATCAAACTAATACTTGTTGTTACCTACACCGTATCGCAAATCACGCAAGGCGATACACCATCACACACAAAGAAAGTCCGCAGAAAACGTCCTGGCTACTCTCAAAATGAGATTGTTAAAATGCCCTAGGCACGTCATCAGAGCTTACAACGTTTTGCCTGAGATCTTACTGGCTATCACCTCAGACAAATAAAGACAGGAAAACATTGGGATGGCAACGTAACGGAGTGGTGAGCAGAGCGAATGATTTATTGTCCCGGGTATCTGTTTCTTTGCCGCGCATCGACACTAAGTTCACATCCTGTCATTGGACACATGATGATGATGATGATGATGATGAATGATGATGATGATGATGATAATGATGATGATATTTGAAGAATGGCTGGTTAAGATGCAAATTGAAGGGGAATCTTCAGAATGTCTAAAGATGGGGAAAAAAAAAAACAATTGATGGATAATTTCTACTAACGGAAACTAAATTTCGCACTCAGTATCTTACAATTTTGGAGAAGAATTTCATGGAAAAAGTATTTCTCAAAAACTATTTTGATACTAATCATCATAATATATTATTAATTTATTACGTTATCCACAGAAGCAGTCTCGTAATTTAACTTAGCACGAACAGAATTATGAAACAATTCGTACACAATGATCAAAATATTACAAAACACCATCTATTATAAACACATGGAAATTATTAGTATATAGTACAAAAATATTATATTGTTATCATCATAAATAAAGGCTCAACACACTCGTAAGGATCTTTACTGAGAGGCATATTTTCTCTTTTGCAGAAGGCATTTGGAAATGTGTTTACAACAGTACAGCAGTTTTTTTAAAGTATTTCTCACCAATCAAGGCAGAGAGCCACTAGCACGCATACAGTTACAGAGGGTGACAGAAATATTAAAAAGAGGTGTTTCAGAAAAGGATATAGAGAATAACAGGGATCAGGATCAAGTCATCAGAAGTCAATTGACATTACATATGAATATTTGAAGATTATAGTCATTAGAGAATCAAGTAGGAGGAAGGGACTTCCACTGTCGGGAAGTGCGAGTGAAGAAGCTGTTGGAGTAGAAGAAACAGGTACATTTAGCTGTTTCGACAGTGAAAGGTTAGGATGAAATGCAAAACCTAGTAGCATGCTTAAATTCATGAAGTTGGTGTTCCAGTGAAAGTAGCTCGTGAGAATAGTTGCCCTGAAAATATTTGTAGAAAAGACATAGGGAAGCTTCATCACGTCTTTGAGAAAGTGACTGTAGAAGAGATGACAGTTCAGGACCTATCATATTACATATCCGTCTCTGGAGTTTGTCGAAGAAATAGAGATAAAAGGCGCGAGCAGCAGACTATATATGACAATAGTACTCAATGCAAGGGAGAATGGTTGATTTGTAGATTTGAAGGATGGACTCAGATGCTAAAAACATTCAGGCGTGACACTGAGAACAAATTGTCCTTGTAGTAGATGAAGCTATTGGTTCAATGAAGTTATTCCACTTCAGGTCAATGGAAAGCGTGTGACAAAACAGGCATAGAGAGACGCTCTCGTGTAGTTGGGCATCAATTAATATGTTTGTGCTCAGTCGGTTCCAAGTTAATGATTCATTAATATTTTATGTGCATACAATATTTATATTTATACAGGCCTGTGCTTTTGTTTGTTTAGTTTTATATACGAATAAGATATCGCTGATGACACTGAAGTTTGGACGCAGGTCACGAGAGAGCAAACATTGATTAAGTAGTTCAGATAATAGTAAAGGAAATTTGTATATAAGGAAATTAGCGTGGCGTGTAATTTATCAACATTCCTGCTTTTATCCTCTGTTGTTATACGGATCGCTTGTCTCTATAATATTCACTGTAATATTCACTATAATATTCACTATAATATTCACTGTAATATTCACTATAATATTCACTATAATATTCACTATAATATTCACTGTAATATTCACTATAATATTCACTATAATATTCACTGTAATATTCACTGTAATATTCACTATAATATTCACTATAATATTCACTATAATATTCACTATAATATTCACTATAATATTCACTATAATATTCATAATATTCACTATAATATTCACTATAATATTCACTGAATATTCACTATTATTCACTATAATATTCACTATAATATTCACTGTAATATTCACTATAATATTCACTATAATATTCACTGTAATATTCACTATAATATTCACTATAATATTCACTGTAATATTCACTATAATATTCACTATAATATTCACTGTAATATTCACTATAATAATAATATTCACTGTAATATTCACTATAATATTCACTATAATATTCACTGTAATATTCACTATAATATTCACAATAATATTCACTGTAATATTCACTATAATATTCACTATAACATTCACTATAATATTCACTATAATATTCACTATAATATTCACTATAATATTCACTATAATATTCATAATATTCACTATAATATTCACTGTAATATTCACTATAATATTCACTGTAATATTCACTATAATATTCACTATAATATTCACTGTAATATTCACTGTAATATTCACTATAATATTCACTATAATACTCACTATAATATTCTCTATACTATTACCTATACTATTCATTATACTATTTCTTTATTCGGATCAGTATTTAGTGGTTAATTTTAGAGCTAGTATTAAGGAGCATGTGCTATTAGAGTGTATTTCGAAGGCGTCTGGCACTTGTATTGTTCAACGGTGTTATTATAGTTTTATCTGCAATTTCAAACTATCTACTACAACAAGCATTACGAAAGTGACAATAAATATTTGTTGACATTGACGAATTGGCAATGAGTGTTCGTTGACGTCACAAAATTTTAAAAAATAAACTGGAAAAAGGCAATAACAATATTTTTTACGCTTACTTTGAATGCATTTCGAATTGCAAATATTCTTACTGTCATCTTGTAACAAAATGCAACAAATCGAGAAAAATATTTGTTATTAGGAATCATTTCACCATAACGCTATAAAAACCAGTAAGATGCAAGATGTAGCAGTGAATAAAAGAATAAGAGATGGCAATAAAAAAAAACAAACAAACAAACAAACAGGATTCAAAGAGACAATTTACTACGGTACAAATGACATTTACATTTGTGAAGATCGTTGTTGCTAGGAACTCAAAAATCCATAAGTTATTTCTATAACCGAGAAGTGGATGTGAAGAAACGCTTCGCATACAACTTACGATTACAAGTAGCAAATTCTACATTTAAATTATGGGGCATATTCCTGAATTCAGGGTACGCACAAGAAACGTTCATAACAATAATTACTGTGAAAATATTTATAGAAAAGGTAGAGAGAATCTACGTTAAAGCAGTGAAAATGTTACCGAAGCCCAAATGAATGAAACAGTTGCAGATACATCTTTCGACTTTATCAGGATGATTTAGATATATAGCAAATGTGCCCTACCTGATATAGAAGCCATACGCTAGATAGATGAAAAGAAATATATATGAAAGAAAATATATATAGTTTAATTCATAATTTACTAATGATACAACATGCTGTATTTTAAATAAATTATACTTTCTTATACGACCAGTATTTATCGCACGTAAAGGAATGGCTGAAAAAGAAAAAATAACAAACATGGATTCGTTCTCAGAGAAACTTTTATATTACTAAGACACACAAAACTATCATATATATACACGCGTGTCAAACGCAGAGTATAATATATCCCATATATCTACACAGCAAAGTAGAGTGTAAGGAGAAACAAAAATGAAATGTATTCCATATAATATGGAGATGCTCCTGTACTTGGAGAAGCCATTTTTAGGACTACAGATTCAAACGGGACCGGTTTGTCTCTCTTCCAATCAAAGACATTTTCCATGAACAGTAAATAGCGAGTCTGTTTTCTCAAATTAAGTTCTGGTACTGGAGTTTCATTCCATATCTGGTAAAGATAAGTTCCCAAAGAGAAACGGCACCAAGGACTTGTAAGATCCTTGAGAAGCAGATTTATTTTCTAACTGGGCCACAGGAGGGGGGTGGCTAAAAAAAGCAACCTTATCGTTTCCTTGGTGTAAAAGTACTCAATTTTGAGAGGTGCTTTCGGCATTATATGGAGTGACGTCAATAAGCGGCTG